TAACAAATCATCAATAGTAGAATAATAAATAATCAAAATATAATCTAATAAATTGAACAAAAAACAAACAAACAAAGCTAAACCAGATGATGGCAAGACAGGTGGCATAAATCTGTCGAAGATCAAGAGGATACCCATAAGAGCTTCTGTGAACATCCTAGTCATGAGCATCTTCTTAAAAGCTGGGATGAAGGGGGCCTGGCACAGGTATACCGGGAGCCCATTCCATAAAGATGGTGCCACAATCAGTAAGACTCAACTTCTTGTAGATGTCTTCCTGACCTCCCTGGGTATGGCAACCTATAACAGTATGGCCTGAGAGGATGGGTGGTGTGGCCGGATGTTCTTAAGGAAATACACTCCAATAAGGAACAAGGTCCCAAACACAGAAGTTGCTAATCGGTAGAAGTAATCGCTATGTTGGTTGGCTGACTTAAGGAAGGGAAATGCAGCTTCAGTTGATACAATTCTATTTTGTCACGTCATTCTTCTGCAGATACAGACCAGGGCTATTGTACCCACCTTGCATAACTCTTGCAAGAATGGCCAGAGCCATACAAATTAACACACATCGCACACAGTGTAAAGAGTCGAGTGGCATAATAGTATTAACTGGAGAAGCGAGTGGATTAATTGGATCTGAGCCACGTCCCTTCTCATGTTTGATCACAAGTCTGGAGGACTTGGTGAAACAGTTATGGAGTGGGGTTGGGAAGAAAGACACCAGGCACGATAACTGTGAGGGATAGAAATGTGCCTTTTCTGAAAGGCAGAGGCATGAGATTCATGCACATATGCTACACTGAGAAGAGATGTTCTATTTGTAACCACTCAGAACAAACAGACAGCTGCCAAGTTGCCATCAAATCCTTGCCTTCCCCTCTGTTCAGCTTCAGTTCTCAGTGGGTTTTTATATACCTCCCGTAACTGAGCCCTTGTTATGTGATACCCGTCTCGTAAGAATGTTATTTTATTTTATTTTATAAAACACCACCTATTAAATAATACAAACTTCTAATTCTATTGCTAAATGTATTTCAATGCATAGGCAGCTGGCCTTAGAAACGGAGATAAAAAGAGAATATATTTCTTGGGCAAAAACCACTCAGAGCCGTTGCTGTGTGAGGGCTGGATTGGAATCGGGAGATTCAGGTGATTGTCTCTGCTGAGCTAGGAAGTTCACCAGGTGACCTTGGCTTCTCTCTCAATTCTACCTCACAAGAGCAGTGTAGGTTGCCTGGAGCTTACAACTCTAAATCAGCCAAATCTTTTTTAAAACCAAGGTTCCAAACCTGAAATAAAAATACAGATCACTTAATGCAATAATACAGTTAGTTAGGCATCCTCCAGTCTCGAGAGACTATGGTCACGTCCTCTGTAGGGAGGACTTGGAACAGCGTCTAGTGTGGCTGAGAAGGCCAATTCGAGAGTGACCATCCCTTCCACACTGAAGACAAATACAATCTGTCCCCTGTTAGTAGCTGGGAACTGCCCAGCTTAAGGCAGGCGGTAGCTACCTAGTGAGGTGCAATGACCTCTCCCACCGTTGGAAGTAGCCCCTGGCGCCATGCTCTATGCCAATCGAGCAAACACTTATAACCGGTAACTTCTACTTTCCGTGTTGTTTCGACGCTGTATGCAAAGCTGGAGTGTCCTCTCCAGAGCACGAAGCCTGGAGAAAATAATAATATGGAGGATAGGCTGTTAACTAACCAGCAAATCCCCCCTCTCTTTGAACTCTATTAATTTATTCTGAAATGCCTACAGTTTTGATTAACCTGTTCCGCTTCCACAGTTTGTAGCAGAGCTGAGCATTGCAAATTATTGTCAGCCATTCTTTTAACTTCTGAGATTTCCTTGGACAAGGCTGATACTATTTCTGGAATATATTAAGAGGCCTATTGGCTAGATGCTTTTTCTTGTACTGTATAAGGTAATGCTGACATTGTTGGCAAGTGTAATTTGGAGCCCAAGCTCATTTTCCCCCCCCCGTGTAGTACATCTCCTGGAATTGCTACCTTCACAGAACTAGCCTTTCGGAAGCTGTGTCTTGTCTCATAGCCACTTCTACATAGGAGGCATGTTTATTGATTGGTTGATTTAAAAAAACATGTATCTTCCTCTTTCTCCCTAAGAAGGCTGAGTGCACATTACACTAGATAAAACAGTGTGACAGATAATAGCAAATAATGAAATTTACAGCAGCCATGGGAACATTTGATCTTATGATCATAGGAGATCCAGTATAAGAGGAGCAGCTCTTGGTGAACAGAAGCAACCATGAAAGGAAACTATCCATTACAAAGGAGAGTTTTTTTGAGGGTTTGTCACTCTAGAGAATGTGGATGATGGTTTAGAACCATCAAAATAATGTCTTTTGCTCACACCCGGACACCCAGTGTCATCTCCTGTCCCCTTTCCTCTCACCAGAGGAGTCCAGTTTTTAATTCCGTCATCTTATGGGATATTCGTAGGCGGGGGGGCGAACTTCTCTTACCATGGAAGCAGATTCTCCTCGCGCCCAGCCCCTCAGCCCCTTCCGATTCTTCAGGCCCAATAGCTAATGAAGGTCTGGGGATGTCAAAGTTTGCTGAGAGGTCTCGGTTGTGTGCCAGGTAAATAAAACTGAACTGATTGTACAAGAGCTATTTTTTGCACCACGAAAGCTGTTTCAGAAAAAACTGGAACTTGATTTGTCATTTGTTTCTTGGCAGGAAGGCTGCTGAAGCCTGTGGACATGCTGCCACTCATTCCTGGCAAGCACAGAGTGTCTGCTTTGTAATCTGCATTTGTACATAATCAGTTTCAAGTTGTTTTCAATAGACGCGGAGTGTAAAATATTTTGGATTAAACAGATTGCACTGACTTTATGTAACTCTCTCAGCTGCCATCTATAGAGCACAGCATGTCTTCCGTAGTAAGCAGGCACCATCAGTATGGATAGAAATTGATTTAGGCAAGTTTTAAAACTCCTCTTTTTAAGTGGAGATCATTGTGTAGCAATGAGTCACTTCTGCTTATGGCAACCCTATGAATAAATCACTTTCAAAGGGTCATGTCATTAACAGTCCTGTTCAGATCTTGGAAGCTAAAGGCAGTGGTTCATTTACTAAAACAATCCATCTCATTTAAGGCTGTTCTCTTTTCCTACTGCCTTCTGTTTTTTCTAGCATTATAATTTTTTCCAGTGAGCCTTGTCTTCTCATGACCTTCCAAAGTAAGTACTGTAGAAGGTTGGGCATCCTTCAGTCTCGAAAGACTATGGTGACGTGCTCTGTATGGAGGACGTGGAACAGCGTCTAGTGTGGCTGAAGAGGCCAATTCAAGAGTGGCCGTCCCTTCCACACTGAAGACAAATCCAATCTGTCCCCTCTCCAGCTCCCTGGTTTTGCTGCTTTTAGCAGAATTTGTAAACTGAGGTATTTCACAAATTTAAGCACATAACCATTGTTTCAATTTAAAAAAAAAACCCTGCACAGTCATAGAGTGTGTTTCTTTATTCTGTCACGTAGGGGGTTTTTTTTGTACGTTACAGACAAGTATATTTCTCTTCAGTAATCAGAATTTAATGCCTCTCCATGAGAAGAGATTTTTGTTTAGCAGGAAAATGGTGGAGGATCCACTACCCGGCAGTGGTTAAGGGCAGAACCGAGAAGGCTGCTGGCCATCTTAGCTGGGAGATCCTGAGAGATGTAGCCCAGAAAGTAACTTTTCTGAGGTCTAGCTGTTGGGGAATAACATAAATCCCTGCAGTATCTGGGTTAAGGATCAGCAAGCGCTGTTTGTGAGCAACTGGTGTAATTCAAGAATCAAGTGTATCCAGCAAATCCTGGACTGAACCCAATGGAACTGGTCCAGCATTGGTCAAAGGCCTAATGAGGGGCTGAAGTATTGCTGCTTTCCCTTGTTTCCAGTAACCTTTTGTTTCTGCTTCTTGTTATCTCTTAGACAACAAATTGAAAGAGGCATTGAGGAGCTACGCATGGAGAAACCAGGAGGTGAAACGTACATGCACTTAGGATTACAAGAGGTAAGTTTGTTCCTCCAGCCCTCTTTTAAGGAAGCCAACTGCATCATTAGCTATTATTTAATGCATCATATTTTCTTTAGTCAATTGTGGGATGTTACTTACCTCTTGTATGACTGTTTAGGTTTTTGAGAGGTGTGGAAACTTGAATAGAGATGGACACCAATCACTGGTTTGCTCCCCAGCTGAACAGTTGATCCTTGGTTTGGCACCCTGTCCCTTCCATCGGGCGCCCATTCAGCCCCAGTGCCCACCGGAGGGGTCAGGGCACTGAACTGCACATCAGCTGCTCAGCCTGGAAATAAACCACATTGAACCAGCAGTTCATGACCATCTGTAAACTGGAACTTATATGGCAGGGCTTAAAGTTAAAGAACCGCATGGTGTTGTTTTATTTTGGTAAGCCCTTGAGCTGCTTTTCCCCACACAGTTTTCAATGTGCAAAGGTGAAATTCCTGAATAATACCATGCCTATTTTAACTTGATGGGTGCTTAGTTTGTCACTGATGATCACTAATAATTTTTATTGCAATCTGATTCTGTTACTTGAAATATTGTTGTTCCCTCCGTGGCCCAAAGTTTGGAAAAGTTAACTTCTCCCCCCCCTACTACCGTTCCCAGAGGGTTGTAGTCCAGAAAGTAACTTTTCCAAACTGCTGGCAATATAATTGAGTTAGGAAACATTCTTTGATTTTTCAGGCAAATAATCAAATTGAAGCAGCAGGTGGCTCAAAATCGAATAGTATCATCATTGCTCTGACAGATGGGAAGCTGGAAGGCCTCATTCCACGATACGCCGAAAAAGAGGTGAGTTTTGAATGAAGTGTGTTCCCTCTGCCTATGCTGAACATCTGTACAGGTTTGTTATATGCCAGCAAATGCATAGACTGTTCTTTTTCTTCCTTCTTTCTGGAACAGGCCAACCATGCTAGAGAGCTGGGAGCGAGGGTTTACTGTGTCGGTGTCCTCAATTTCAACCAAGAGCAGGTAGGACAGTCTCTCTTTCATCATTTATGATGCACTGGATGTACCGTAGCTTATTAGAAGCATCTTTGATATTTGCGGATGGCTATATATATTTGAAGCTATATTTGTGTAAGTTGTAACTTGACATCCCTGGGTTGCCATGGCCAGATGGCAGCAAAAAGGCATGTACTTCAGGATGGACGGCTAATACTTGTCATCTGTTATTGAATACTCAAAGGCTCTTAGAGCTTTTTCTGCTTAAAAATATGGATTTTACAGATGACGACATCAAGCAGATTGGGTTGGGGGAGCTGGGAAACCTAAGTTGAATATATATAACCCTACCTTTCCCCACACTTTTTTCTCTTCACTCTGTTGCTGCTGAAGTTTAAAATTTACAAAAATCACCATGTCCACATACACATGATAAAGACACAGCTGGTAATAATTGCAGATCTGTTTGGTGTTCTTCTTTGGTCTTATGTTGAGGCATGATCTTTGCAACAAAATGAGGTGATAAGAATTCTTAGACGGTAGTAGTGAATATGCCACTTCTAGTGCTATGTAGGAGATGCCATTTTAATACATTCATGCATGTAGCTCCCCTGAAAATCCCTGACGTATTTAGAAGAAAAAGTTCTTGGCTAGCCTCCTCCCTGTTGGGATAGTTTCTACTTGGCAGTGAACCTCGGTTGCTAGAGAGTGTTTAAAAACTGCAGATCTCTACCTTATAGGTTAAAATGGTGCAGTCCATTCTGTCATATCAGCGCTCTGCTGGGTGTGTAGATGAAGGACCAAACCACACGTTACACTGAATGCGTAGTCTGTACTTACATCTTTGATTTTTTTTTGTGCAGTGATTTTTTTGTTGGATTATTAACAAAAGCCCCTTTTCATCTGCCCTTTTCTTTGCCAGCAAGAGTCAAATGCTCCTGCTAGCAGTTAAAGGGGGTGGGGGAAATACAGATACATGCTGCACATTTAGCTTTATATGTACATTCACCCTTTACTTGAAGCTTTCTTATACTGAATCAGGTTGACCTAACCCAGTGTTGTCTCTTCTGGTTCATGGCAGCTCTCGAGGCTCTTGGGCAAAGTTCCTTAAAGGAAAGGGGAACATCTGTCTGCTATAGATAAAGCAAAAATGGTTGGGTCAGGATCCAAGGAAGGAGAAGCATTGCAAAGGCAGCTCCTCCACATTTCTTAAAATGTCATTTCTGCAGTTTGAAAGACAAGCTGCTTTTGATGAGCATCTTGTCTGCTGTGCAGTAAGGTAAAAGTCGGTGGCAAGCAAAGGTGTTTCTCCTCCTTGGGTGCGTTTTCTTGCAGAGTTTTTACAAGCTCTAATTTAAAGGTGAGTTGTCTTATTTCACCAGATGTATTTGTATTTTTCTTCCTTAGCTTGAAAGTATAGCTGATTCGAGCGAGCAAGTGTTCCCCGTCAGGGAAGGATTCAAAGCCCTTCGAGGGATAATTAATTCTGTGAGTATTCTAGAAGCCACATCTTGTCTAACTAGCAGTGTTGGGATTTTGCTTGTTTGCCTGCTCTGTTTATTTGCTTTATCATTTTGTCTTGATGAGAACTTAGCAGGGCTTTTTTTAAGCCTGAATTCTGCATTTCGGCTTGATGAGATGCTGGGTGAACTAAAATTGCTTCCCTGATTCACCAGACCTTCACAGATGTATCCTCCAGAGTAGTCGTTCCCAACCTTGGGGCTCCAGAAGTTCTTGGACGACAGCTCCCAGAAATCCTGGCCAGCAGAGCTAGTGGTGAAGGCTTCTGGGAGTTGTAGTCCTAGAAAATATGAGAGGTCATGGTTGGGAACCCCTGCTCTTGAGTCATGGTCACATGTTCAGTATCACGTGAAAACCTTGTATGGAACATTGATGAGGGATCAGCTGGATCTCCATGTCTGGTTCCTGATCCCGATGTCATATGAGAATCTCCAGTCCTCAACTGAGCTGGAAGTAGAAATGAATTCTCACCATTACCATTATTTGGTATTTATTGGCATAGTAGGACTTGTAACTATTGAGCTAGGAGTAAAATCACTCGGGTGGTAACACATACAGAAAGAAAGTTATTGTTTATTGTCTAGGAAATACATTCATGGATAAAAGATAGTGTTCAAGGTGGTTTACAAACTTTTGCAATAGATAAAAATCACATTTAGTTAAAAAAAGAAGAAGAAAATGTTGTAAAATCATATAAACCAGCCTGAATATAAAAACCATAAAAATTAAGCAAATGTTCGTGGTTCATATGAGTGTAGATTTGGCCAAAAGAAAACTAAAGCTGCTATTTGGGGTGGGGGCAGCAGCAGCGGATTAATAAGATTTTGAGATAACAGTGACATCTCAATTTAAATATGAAATTCCCTCTACAATGAAGAGAGGTGGCATTTGCTTATCTTTTTATGGGGACTCTGTTTTGGAGAGAAAACATGCTGACAGTGTTTAATTCATACAACAGACTCTTTAAATTAGTCCCTGCTTTTGCGCTTGGTAAAATTTTTGTTTTGCAGATGGCAAGTTAAGCAAATCTTTTAGGTCTCTTTGTGTTGAAATATGGAACATTGCTTTGGTTAATGAAGATCTGTAACTGTGTCATTTGAAAAACTGGGGGCTATTGTTTTGTTTTGGCTTGTGATGAAATAAATACTTCTGCATTCTGTGTGTGTGTGTGTGTGTGTGTGAAGTTGATTCCAACTTATGGCGACCCCTTTCAGGGTATTTTAGGTAAAGAATGATCAGAAGTGTTTCAGCATTCACCTCTTCTACGGGCTCCCTGGGACTATGCAGCTTGCCCAAGGCCACATAGGCTGGCTCTGTTCATAGAAGGCACAGTGGGGAATCAAACTTGAGCCACCACCAGATGCCTAAACTACTTAGCTATCTAGCAGAATTAGTGGAGGATAAACTATGGAACAAATTTTAATTTTGTGCAGAGCAATTAGTACTTGCATATACAGTGGTACCTCGCTAGACAACGACCTCGCAAAACGATGAATCCGCATGACAATGAGGTTTTGCAATTGCTATAGCGAATCGCAAAACAGTGATTCCAATGGGCGATTTTCACTGGACGATGTTTGGGTCCCTGCTTCGCAAACCGAGTTTCACAGGACAATGATTTTGCCACTGATCGGCACTTCACAAAACAGGCGTTTTTCAGACAGATGCTTCGCAGGGCAGCCATTTTAACAGCTGATTGGGGCTTTGCAAAATAGCTTCCCTATGAGCAATCTTCGCAAAACGACAACAATTTTTCCTCATTGGAACACATTGAACGGGTTTCAATGCATTCCAATGGTGAAACGGTTTTTGCAAGACGATGTTTTCACTAAACAGCGATTTCTATGGAACAGATTATCATCGTCATGCAGGGCACCACTGTATTTACCCTGCAGTGCAGGGATGAAGAAACCATGGCTCTCTAGAATTTCCTTAATCCATGAGTTGCATTAATTCTGAGTCATCCTAATTAGGATTGATGGAATTTGCCTCCAAAAATCATTTGGAGGGCCACAAGTTGCAGTATTTTGTAGCATGTGTTTTATTTTTGCTGATCATTGAGGTTTGAATGGATTTGAAACTATAGTCAGGTAGGTCTGGGAGTTCCCTGATGATCAGCTGATCCATTAAAAACCCCCAGATACTTCAGTGTCAAATATAAGTTGGCTGTAGTTGTTACATCTGTTATATCGGGTATAATGTAGTGGCTAAGAAGTTATGCTCTAAATCATGAAGTCTCTAGTTTAGATCGATTCTCTGCTGAGGAGTTGTTAGGTCATGTTAGATAAGCCAGTCCTGAAGCCTTAGTCCTTGTGTCTGCAATATGGGGAATAATTATATCGACTATTGCGTTGTTTGCAAATAGGATTAAGAAAGTATGTATTTACCTTATACTGAAAGCAATGTTTCATCTAAACCAGTGCTGTCTGACTGGCCTTTTGTAAGATACCTGATGCCCAGTGAGACGAAGCCTGGCTGCTCTTCCATTGCCTCAGTAGTGGAGTTAACAGCCATTAGTAGTGGATTCTGGGAATCCAGAATGGGCATGTTGAACAGATCCTTTTCTCAGGTCTTTCCCATGAGAGCTTCAATCCCAGAGCAGTAAAATACGGTATTAGGCCCACACCACCCTTTCTATCCCTGGTGGTAGCATCTGGACACCTATAGTCTTCTTCAGACAAAACATGTGCTCTCCTGAACAGCATCATTCCAACTTTTATGACTCTCCTCCCTCTCTTACCCCTTTTTGTTGGCTTTAAAAGTGTGTATTACCTGTCAGAAATGTTGGCATAGTTTGGATTGTGCCTGCAAGTTCTAATTCAACATTATATTTGAGCCTGGCGTACTCTGAAGGATGACTTGGGAAGGGACGCATCTCTCGGTGGGCAATATCTGCTAATCTTCCAGCTCAGTGGACATGGATATACTGAACTTGGGAAGATGACCCTTTGGTGCAATCCTCATTGCTTTCCTGTCTTAGGAGCCAACAACTGCAGAACTGGACAGGGTCCCTTCGAAAAGAGACAGGCAGCCCCTCACAGGGGGTGGAGTTAACTGCAGGTCCAATCTAAGTTTCTCTAGGCCTTTGTATGTTGCTGTGACAATAGCTCTATTCTGTGTAGCGGACACAGGCTACGGCGATCTGTCCAGGGTTCTGACAGACTGTACCTAGCGTGACCTTCCAGTAAGAGCCCACTGCTTTGAAATCAGCCTCTCCTTGGAGACTATAAAACTAGGGCAAGGCAAAGTGTCCCAGCCTCACCTTACCATCTGTGGCAGTTCATGTGTCCCATTGAATTGGGATTGTTTAAAGCAAGTCTGCTGTAAAGATTGCTGATGAACGTCTTGGGTCCAGACTAGACATAAATATATGGTTGCTCTCATAAATGGCTAAGGAACATTATTTATTAAAAATATTTTTATCCCTTCTTTCTCCTCAAAAGGGTAACCAAGGTGGGCTTACATCGTTAAAAAGACAACATGTAGAAGCTTAAAAACAATAGGTATACAAATATTAAAAATAATTAAATAAGTATTACATTAAACAAGTTTTACATTAAAAACAGTAATAAAACCAAAACAAAAACACATTTAAAACAACCAAGCACAACTATTCCTTTAAAAACTCTTCTCAGACCATCAGTCATTAAGAGAAAACCTGCCTGAAGAGAAAGGCCTTTCCCTTCTTGAGGAAGGACAGCAATGATAGGGCCAAGCTAGCTGGGAGCAGAGTCTGGGAGCAACAACAGAGATGACCCTCTCCTGTTGTGGATGCATCCAAATGCTTCTGTGAAGATGGTGGGACCAAAACACCTTCTGTTCTATTTCCAGTAGATCTTGCTTTATCTCGGACACTGCAGTGTTGTGATGTCTACCATCACTTGTTGCACAGGATGGGTGAGATGAGGAATACAGAAAACTGCAGTGTCCCAATACTAGAGTGGAAGTTGATTGGCCATGCTAAATTGGAGATAAGTGAGTAAATAGGAGAAAGGGAGGTAAATGGAAGAAGGAAATTAAGGTGTTGGATGGAAGTTAGTGTCTTTAATTAGCATGTGTAGACTAGACTCCTGAGTGGATGATTGTGCTAAGGATGGAGTATTGATTCACTGTCTTTCCTTTATTTTTCAGCAAGGTACAGATTCTCTCCTGTCTTGACTGTCTCCTTCTTGTCTTATCGTTATTAGTCTGCATATAGCTGACAACGTCTGTTTAGAAATAAATCCTGCTGAATTCAGTCAGACAGACAATGCAGTCTCTCAAAGATAAGCCAGCTGTAGTAGGTTTGGGATGTGTCCCCTGGCTTGGTCAACACAGTGCGTATTCAAGTACTAAAAAAAGATTCTAGAGGTGCACCAGTCAAAGGATCTGCATGTGCAACTGCTGTGCTGGCTAAAATCAACCAATAGAGGAGCCAAACAACAACAACAAGGAAACAAAAAAGGTTGGAAGAGAGGCAGGACAAGGGAGGGGCTGAGATGCACCTGATTTAGACCTCTTCCAACCCAGGGACACAGCCACAGTGCCAGCACAGAGGTAGGCCAGGAAAAGGATTCAAAGTAATTTCCAACATTCCAACGTTAGTCAAGGAGGAAGTAGGTTTCAGCACAGTTTCATCTGGTTTAGTGTTAGCATAGCTCCGCCATTTTGTCCTCAGCCATTTTGGCTTATTAGATTGATGCCTTTACTCTTAGTGCACAGCTGTAGTCTTGAGTTTGCTAGTAGCGTTCCATTGCTAATTTCCATTGTGCGTCCAGTATTGCGGACATGATTTGGGATGGAAAAGATAATGCCTGCTTTGTTTGCATTTTCAAGCATGAACAGCTATGTGTCACGTAATTATTTAGGGCGTTTGAGCATTGGAAAATGAATTCCTGAACGTTTTGGTATGGGAACCTGTACAACATTCAGGATTTGACTGCCATAGAACAATATTATGCTGCTCAGTGTAACCATTCAGAACATGT